CCCCTGCTGTTGGGGCTAAAGGCGCACAGTAATTAACATGATAATTAATAGATGACTGGCTTTTCCATTTGTTGACATGACATGATTAGATTCAGATGGTAAATATCATATATTATGTTGGGTGTCCATATTAGAGATAATCACCATATTTAGAATGAAACCATCATATTTAAAAAATATGATATTAATCATATCATATAATAAAATATAATTTGTTGTTAATACTGCAAACATATATTCAATTATTATTGGATCTCCCTCAATGCTTTCAGAATCTTTACTTATTAAAATGATTTTGTTTTCTGTATTTTAATATATATTTTATATATTAACATATTTTAATGACAGTATATTTATTGAACAAGAATTAATTCTTTTATTTTTCAAAATAAGCAGAAAGTAGTACAAACTTTGCTAAAGTGATTGTTTTGAACAAGTATTAACTTAGACATTAAAGAGTGAAAAATTTAAGGGGGTCTGAATACTTTCCGTACCCACTGTATATATTTTTTTCTGCAATTATACATTTTAGGCACAGTGAATAGCAAATTTTTTCTTAAGGTGGGCCTTTAGCCCCGTTGTACCCTATATATAAATATATAAAGAGAAAGGCAGCCTACTTGTTTTCAAGAACAATTTCTGGTAACCACACCATACTTCGTGGCAGGTGCAGGACAGAAATGTTATCAAACTCTGTTTCATTCCACTTAAGTCTATAATCAGTCCAGAACTGAAGAAAACAAGAGAGAATACAAAAACATACAATATATAAAATACATATCAACGCATACACACACACACAACATATATACAGTATATATATATAGCATTATGTATATAATGTAAGTCTATATATATATATATATATATATATTTGCATTGAATTTCATTATATATGGCACAATGGAACAATTAAAATAATGTACTTACATGCTCCATCCACACATTTGTTAGTAATGTTTCATCAACTTCTTTCTGTCATGGAAAAACGCCTTTGTTAGACAGACTTGCACAGTATCAGACCATATTTATTTGACCTATATCACAGTATATGGAATAGCACGTACTAATATGTCTGGTTTATAATATCTTCTCTGCTCTGTGTACAAAAACTGCTTATAGTGGCAATAATATGTACTCACCAAGGAAATACGATTGGAAAGTGTCAGCGCCAGGTAAATATCTACAGTATCATCTTTATTTTGGACCAGACGAAGCTTGTAGCCGCGCTCCTTAAAAAGGTAGTTGATGAGGCGTTCCTCTTCATTCCGGCCCCAACATTCTGCAAAACATGTTGAAAGTCAAGCCTACTAGTAGTTGTGACTGATAAAATATGCTCAGAATCCCTTTAACAGTTAAATATTGTTAACAAACACATCTTCACCTTTCAGAAAGTTTTATCAAAAATATGTATTTACCACATTTTTATGAAGAAAATAGCTATATGTAGTTCTCTTACAAAAAACAAAAACATAGAGGTATGCAACTCGTAAAAACAACAATGATCATCTACTGATTCAATAATAATCTTTTATATAACGCATTCAGCATTCAGTCTTTAGTTAAAGTGCTATAACTTACCATTTAGTAGTTGTGTTACTATATAAACATGAAAAAAAAACAACAGCTGACAGATTAAGGGTCATAAAATCCCACATTCTAAATATTAAGCTATTAAATATTAATTTAGCTTGTCCTACCTTGCAGAAAGAAGAAAAACAAGGACACCGTCAACAGATGAAGAAAGCTTCTCATCATGTCATGCCGTAGTATGACTTCCTATTACTGTTATTGTCGTGCCCGTCTAGGGCTTTTGAGCACAGCTTTTCCCTTGACTGACACAGACAGGTGTGGAATCAATCCAGACATGAAAAAAGCACACACATAATCTCCAATTTTGACTACCTGCACTAAAGAGACTGTAGGGGGTGCTCAACAATATTGAACGGCCTAAAATGAGTGAGCGAGGTGGTCAAGAATTATATATAGGCCCATCTTCCCAACACTCGTTCTTATCTCAACCAAGAAGTCAACCCAAACCACTCCTGTGAGATGCCAACTGCTCCGTTCTCCACTTTCGTCCACATGGCTAGTCTAAAAATGGATCAACTACATTCCAGTAGGGATCAACTACATTCCAATGGGTCAAAACAGAATGTGTTTACATAGACCTTGAGTCTTTAAAGGAGGCATATTATGCCCCTTTTTACAATATGTAATATAAGTCTCTGGTGTCCGCAGCATGTGTCTGTGAAGTTTCAGCTCAAAATACTCTACAGATCATTGATCACATCATTTTGAAAATGCCTATTTTGAGTGGAAGCAGAAACATTGCTGTTTTTCGGGCCTGTCTCTTTAAATGCAAATGAGCTGCTGCTCCCCGCCCCTTTTCCAGAATAGAGCTGCGCCATTACAGCTCGGACCTGCTAAAAACACCTGTTTTGGTTCTGATTATCATGTTTATCGCGCTGAAATCATGCGTTTTAAACCATATTAGTTTAAGCTAATGATATATAGTGATGGGAAACCGAGGCTTTCTGAAGCGTTTGAGGCTTTCATGAAATTGTGCCGAAAAACGGTTCATTACTCGAAGCTTTTAACACCGTGTGCATTAGCGACAGGTCAGGCTTGTTTTCTCCATCATTTCTGACAAATCATTGCGGAGCAGAGGATGGTTTGCTTGATCAATACAATATCTAATCTGATAGGCCTATAATCTCATCTAAATTGATTTGTGCCAATGAGACCACAACTCGTGTCATGTATAGCTTGGTCAACGGATTCACATATCGATCAATAATATAAAATACACAAACATGGGATCATAAGTAATAATTGACGTGGGTAGCTGAAAAAATATATATATTGGGTGAGCTGTTATAGGCCTACCCTTATGTTGTGTTCGGGGTCTCTGAGACCCAGTTATAAACATGATTAAATGTCCTAGCCTACTGACAGCCCTAAAAGTGACTGAATAATCCTTTTATGCATGGGATCCTGAAGCGCCAGTTTTTTCAAACCAGCTGTCCCGACCTTCCAATACTGCATGACGTCCGAAGCTTCAAACGTCATCAATCACGTGGTATTGTCATTTCGATACAAGCATCGATTCGGCACAGTGTGTGATACAATAGTGGTTTGAAAACTGCGTCGGAGCTGCAGTATCAATTGCTCCATCACTAATGATATACGGTTTTCTGAGCGCACACAACCGAAGCACACGGATAGACAGCGGCCACCAAACAGCATGTGAGTACTAAACTAAGTTCTCATTCACACACAAGTTTACATTAAAAACACACGAGTTACAAAAACAGTCGGTTATGTCTGTGAAGGTAAACAACGGGGAAATAAATCGCATGTTTATTTTAGATCTGTGTGTGCAGCAGTAAATAAATCAATAAATCCACTGCTCTCTTGTCTCCTCTAAGGCTGGGACTCTAAACAGTGTTCTGTGCTCGTCTGTGCAGCCAAAGACAGAACAGTTAGCATGTTTTGCTCAAACTTTCGCCATGACACTGGTACACTGTTGTCGCTTGCGAAATCAAATGACAGCGCCCTGGGTGTAAACTTGCAGATTAAGGGGCGGTAATATTATAATGAGATCCCATTGCCACATCACCAAGAGAGCGAAATCAGACGCGCTCGTTTTTTCAGACGCTTGCAGAAAAAGGCTTACCAAAACAAAGTTACTGGGTTAATCTTTTTCACATTTCCTTGGTTGGTAGATGCACCGGGGACCTGATTATAGCACTTAAAACCTGGAAAAGTCAGATTTTCATGATATGTCAAGGCAAAAGTCAGATCATGATATGTTTAAGGCAAAAGTCAGATCTGTTGGAAGCTGTCAGTGGTGGCTGACATGGTTGGATTGTAAAAGAGAGGTGGATTGTCATGTTTTCATTACTGTTTTTTAGCATTAGCCTACTACTATACAAGTTCTAGGATGTCTTTGAAATACCCAGCAGAGGGAGCCAAAAGATAACTCAAGGTTTTTAACTAGGAGACAACCGAGCAAGGCCAGGATGAGCAAACGTTTTTTGCATATTTAGCCATATTTACTCACTGCTTTGGCATACAATTTGGGGGTCAGTGAGGTCTTAATTCACTGTTAAATAAAAATAAATAAATAAATAAATAAGCTGCTATAGCTGGGTTACATTGTCCAAATTATTTGTATAGCCTATATTTTAATTTAGTCAAATTCTTGTTACTTTACTAAGTACTTAAAAGCTGTCAAGAGCTGATGAATGGCTACTAGTTAGTAAAACTGGGTGCCATAAACAATTGGAATACATACTGAAAATAAATAGTCATCTGATCCTCAAATTTGCAATTGGTTACCAGTAATAAGCTACTAGAAACTATTGGGATGCGGAATAAAGAATAAAAACGGGTAACTAATTTATATTGGCGTATACAATGAAATTAAGAAATACTACACAATATTTAATTACTTTCTAGTAATAGAGGCCTACTAGTAAAATACTAGTTTAATTCCTAGTTAAACGTCTAACTATTGTAAGCTATTGTTCAGCTACCGTCTTTCACTCGCGCATCATTATTTATTTATTTGTCCTACTCCCTCCCCCTTCAAACCCGGATGAATGACTTCACTTTTCCGTCTGGGTTTCCTTTATGGTCTCGGGATGTCCCTGTATTTCTCACACGAGCTCAACTGCAGGCGGACGCATCCCTCCTCTCTCCGGTACAACCGACGGTTCGGCGAGGAGAGCAGCACGACTGGACCTGCAGATAGTCATTCCAGGGTCTTAGGCTGGACTGTATCTACCGACACTGAGTAAAAAGAAGTAGTCTACAAAGACGTTATCAAAACCTGGAAAAGTCAGATTTTCATGATATGTCAAGGCAAAAGTCAGATCATGATATGTTTAAGGCAAAAGTCAGATCTGTTGGAAGCTGTCAGTGGTGGCTGACATGGTTGGATTGTAAAAGAGAGGTGGATTGTCATGTTTTCATTACTGTTTTTTAGCATTAGCCTACTACTATACAAGTTCTAGGATGTCTTTGAAATACCCAGCAGAGGGAGCCAAAAGATAACTCAAGGTTTTTAACTAGGAGACAACCGAGCAAGGCCAGGATGAGCAAACGTTTTTTGCATATTTAGCCATATTTACTCACTGCTTTGGCATACAATTTGGGGGTCAGTGAGGTCTTAATTCACTGTTAAATAAAAATAAATAAATAAATAAATAAGCTGCTATAGCTGGGTTACATTGTCCAAATTATTTGTATAGCCTATATTTTAATTTAGTCAAATTCTTGTTACTTTACTAAGTACTTAAAAGCTGTCAAGAGCTGATGAATGGCTACTAGTTAGTAAAACTGGGTGCCATAAACAATTGGAATACATACTGAAAATAAATAGTCATCTGATCCTCAAATTTGCAATTGGTTACCAGTAATAAGCTACTAGAAACTATTGGGATGCGGAATAAAGAATAAAAACGGGTAACTAATTTATATTGGCGTATACAATGAAATTAAGAAATACTACACAATATTTAATTACTTTCTAGTAATAGAGGCCTACTAGTAAAATACTAGTTTAATTCCTAGTTAAACGTCTAACTATTGTAAGCTATTGTTCAGCTACCGTCTTTCACTCGCGCATCATTATTTATTTATTTGTCCTACTCCCTCCCCCTTCAAACCCGGATGAATGACTTCACTTTTCCGTCTGGGTTTCCTTTATGGTCTCGGGATGTCCCTGTATTTCTCACACGAGCTCAACTGCAGGCGGACGCATCCCTCCTCTCTCCGGTACAACCGACGGTTCGGCGAGGAGAGCAGCACGACTGGACCTGCAGATAGTCATTCCAGGGTCTTAGGCTGGACTGTATCTACCGACACTGAGTAAAAAGAAGTAGTCTACAAAGACGTTATCGACAACTACCTACAAATAATATTCGCTTTTCCCCACGACCTTAGCTGGGAACTTGAGTATAGCCATGTCCGAAGTGCTGCCATACAACGAGGGGAATATGAACGGCTACGGGGCGGACAGTGATGTCAGTCAGCTCTCCTTCAGCTGTCGACTGCAAGACACGAACTCGTTCCTCGGAACATCACAGTCCAAAAGGCCACCGAAACTCGGACAGATTGGCAGGGCAAAACACGGTAAGTACTATACTAACTACTTACCTGTAATAATGGATAATAAACATGACAAACAGAGCACAAAGTTACACACAAACATAAATTCACGGCAGGTAAACACATGAGACTAAAGTAATACAAAATAAAAAGCATAAATATGAATATGAGTAAATAAATTTGAAGAAAAATCAAATATGTGATTAAAAAAATAAATAAATCAGATCTGATGGAGCATGTCCTTTTACTGTTTGTCACTATAAATATGCAATATGAATTTATATAAAAACATTTTAATAATACTTTACAGTAAACATACATGTATTGTCTTATTAAATGTATTATCATTTTCACTGTGAATTATATAGTAATTCATAGTTTTTTTACTTCTACATTTTACTTAACATTTATTCTTACAATATTTTACAGTAAATTTACATTTATATTTCTAGTTGAAATATTTTCCAATGTAGGCTATATGATGAGGGAACCTACAGTTAACCAGTTACAGTATTTTGTTTTTATAGCATGGTTTTTCCATTAAAATTTTATATAGTGTACATACATTTAAAAACAGCTCTTTCCTGCTGACACAAATAGATAAATGCCGCTTTTCTTGCATTCATGCATACTATTTGAAAGCTCCACTAAACATCTGTCTTTTCTCCACAGTGGTCATTGAAGATGACCAAATAGACGAAGTCCTCAAAGGGATGACAGACAAGTCACCTCCCGGCGTGTAAACTTGAACGATTATACCTCGTCAACCTTTTCTTTTAATCACCGGTTTGAAGCACTTGTTGCCTGTGCATGTGAACGAGAGGTGAAGATGATGATTCAGTGTACGAGTACAGGACGAAGGATGAAGAGCCACTCTGGACAATGGGTTAAAATAGCGAGAAATGAAGATGCTGGCAATTCTCCAACTGAAACCCATCCTAAACCGCTGCTGTGAAGAAAGCTGCCCAAGATTTCTGGTCATTTAGACGCCGTGGTTCTGGGTGTGAGATTTCATCACGACATCAACAAACAGAAGCCCCCCCCCCCTCCCCCGTTTCATAGGCATCTATCATACTATGAGAGCTACTCGTTCAAGGGAGCTGTCCAGTTCAGCACCTGACACACAACTTGACTGTCTTTCCAGAGAAATAAGCTATATTTATATATTGCATGGAAATGGGATGATGTATGTAATCGAGGGAAGGTTGATTACATGTTTTATTTACTTCCTCCACATCTACATCCATTCCATTTTCAATCCTTGACTGATCATGCCCAGAATACATTTTATAGCCAACAAAGCCACTCAACGCCAGCAAGGAAGATCTGAAGAACCAGCAATGGAGGGAAAATGAGAAGGTGTACTTCTTGTTTGATTTATTGCGTCTTTTCTATGACTGTTTATTTGTTTGGCGTCGTGTATAGATTAATATATACGGTTCTCTTTGCATGAACTTTTCTCTTGTGCCATTGCGGGTGTTTCCACCTCTTTTAAACCCAGGCACGTTTGTTTTTACCTAAATCAATATTTGTATTTTTTATATCTGAATATTTGTTACTCAGAACGATATTCGACACAGACAGGGTATGTGTAGATACAGAGGCATAAAACATAATCAAAAAGGACAGACTGAATGTTATTTTGGGGAAGGGGTTTCACACATCAGCATTAACACGCTTTCCATTTGCAATAAGTGATCATGCCTTTGTTGATAATGAAATGGTTTTGAAATATAATTTCAGAGTATGTTCAACAGCACTCTCACTGTAATTACATCAGTGTTTTTTTGAGCATCTCAGTTGATTATTTATTTGTTTGTTTTTGTATTCTTTTGTGTATAGTCTATTGTGCATTGAAATTTTTTCAAGCTTATAAACAATTTATGAAGCAAAAAATTGCACACGTCTCTACATTCTACAAATGAATGAATAAATGAATTCAGATGAGTCATTCATGATGGGGTTTCTTTCATTTTTTTGCCTAAATAACTGAAAAATCAGAATGTAGATCCATAGGCTAAATAACTAGCAGCAACAAATAGGCCTACTGAGTGAAGAAGAAAATGAATCAACTGCAGATCATGGGCTGTCCTTTAATTTAGATATAATCTGGTGAATTTGAGAGGTAGCCTATCTGTGGCTCTTAATGCAGGAATGAGACCGAATGGGATAAATTCAGCTGTTTTCAGAAATTAGAGTGAGTGTTGCCCCCTCAGCCAAGCTGACAGCATGAGAACTAATCAGCAAATAAACAAACTTCATAGCTCAGTCTGCCAGTGCCAAGTACGCCATGCAGGCTAAATAACTAGCAACAACAAATAGGCCTACTGAGTGAAGAAGAAAATGAATTAACTGCAGATCATGGGCTGTCCTTTAATTTAGATATAATCTGGTGAATTTGAGAGGTAGCCTGTCTGTGGCTCTTAATGCAGGAATGAGACCGAATGGGATAAATTCAGCTGTTTTCAGAAATTAGAGTGAGTGTTGCCCCCTCAGCCAAGCTGACAGCATGAGAACTAATCAGCAAATAAACAAACTTCATAGCTCAGTCTGCCAGTGCCAAGTACGCCATGGCGCCTGCGCTCTGGGCATGCAAACCTTCAGCTGGTTTAAATAAACTTGCAGATAAAATACATTACTGAAAATACTTACCGCTAATATTCGCTGTCGTCTACTATTGCAAAGCTACCACGCGGCATCGGCGCTATATTCACGTCACCTCGTACAACTCCGCGGGCTTTTCGTGATACAAAGCAAATGTCGCCATCTTGCGGCCCAGTTATCGATTGTAATGAAAATTACCTCACAAAAATTCGGGTAATATTGTTGCAGAACAAATCTTGTTGCTAGAACGATTGGTTTGCACGTTTTGTTAGATTTTTTTCTTAGCGAGTTTCTTAGGAGTAGGCTAGTGAAACGTTTCTAACTCCACTACCAAAAATAATAACCAATCAAACTATTAGGCTACTAGTCCTGTAACTAGTAGTTCATACTCGTATAAATATTCTCTATTCAAAACAACTCAACAAACAACTTAATAATAAACTGTTACTGTATATAACCAGATAATTATTAACTTCATGAAATTGGCTGCTTCCATCAGGGGATGTCTATAATATCCAAATGTGAGCTTATGTGGAGCTGTTTTTCATGGTATTGTCGAATCTGTTCTTCTCAGGTGAGTGACAAATCACTCATCACAGAATATAGGCTGCTTATTAAAGCGATAGGTCATCACGGGACACACTGCACAGCACAGCACACATCGCTAAACCAGCCGCCTAACTCTCTCCTGTGTTCCCATAATTCCACTCACCTAAAACATATATCCATACACCCCTCGGAGATAAACACGACTTTAAACTACTAGAGCACATAAGCCATTATAGAGCACTCTTCCATCCAGGCTTAAGCAAACAAGGGGAACAGGAAGGTAACGTTTGTTTTGAATTTAAAAGTGTGTCCAAATTTACCAGTTTGATAACCGAGATGCTTGTTTAGTCATTTCTCAGTTTTCAAGTTTTTGGAAGTAGAGAACATCTTTGCTTTAGGTGTCAGCCATGAAATAATATAAATAATATTAACAAAAGCCTGCAAAAAATAGCCACAGATGTAGCTGAAAACATCTGGCTCATGTTTGCATTTTTTTTTTCTGTCCCTGGCCATTCTAATCTTGTTTTCATAA